GGTGACCCCCGGAGCGAACAAGACGCTCCACTCTGTCCTTCACATGCCGATGCGTGCGCCCGGCAGGCAGCAAACCTCCCTTGTCTCCAGGTTGGGGTGGCACACTGCCGCCTCAGTGCCCCTCAGCAGGGAGTCCCCAACAACAATCACCCACTGCCGTACCTTTCCGGTGCTGGTGGGCAGCCGTGGCCTGGCCCTCGCCTCTCCCACAGCGGCCCCCTTGCCACCTGACGTGCCAGGCTGGGGGTCCTGCTGGTCCCCCGAGGCCTCATCAGCCCCAGCCTCCCCAAGTGGAGAGAACCTGTTTCCCAGCTCCAAATTGGTGCCAGGAGAAGGAGGAGGCCGTGCCTCCTCCTGTGGGTGACATACCTCCATGTTTCCGCAGCTGCTCCTCCCGTGGTCTCTCCCTCAACTTTCTGTCCAGAGGGGGGCTGCTCCGGGGGGGCCTGGAGAGCTCTCTCGGCCCTCAGGCACCTCACCTCCTCTTCTAGCAGGGTCACCATCTTGCACCGAGGGCAAGTGTATCCCTGCCTCTCCTGGGGGAGAAGGGCAAACATGTCGCAGCTCTCGCAGCGGACAGCAACACCCGTGACACCCGCCAAGGCCATCTCCTGGTCTGCCATCGGTATCCCTTCCGAGACCTTACCTTGGTCCCCTGCCTTATTTCTCCTGCAGTTCCTCTCACTCGCCCAGTTCTCCCAGACAAAAACCCATTCGCACACACACACAAGGATAAAATAAACTTAAATTGGAAGAAAAACAAAGCAAAGCACAGCACAGCACAAACAAAAACAAACAAACAATCAAACCTCTGTGTCTCAGGGAAGGGAGTCTCCGGACAGCCCGGGCCGCAGCTAAGGGACGTAGACAAGGGACCACACCTTATCAGTCCCTCAGGCCGGTGGCCCCGCCTGTCAGCTTCCTCCTGGCTGCTCTAGCCTCTCTGGCCCCGCCGCCTTCCTCTCTGCTCCCCTGCCCAGCTCCTACCTTGCCTTCGCCTGTCCCCTGGCCACTCAGCACACTCTCCCAGCCTGTGCCTCTGCTGCTCTACCAAGAGGCCAGAGCCAAAAGAGACAACTCTACACATGGACATCACCAGACGGTCAACACAGAAATCAGACTGACTATGTGCTCTGCAGCCAAAAATGGAGAAACTCTATACAGTCAGTAAAAACATGACCAGGAGCTGACTGTGGCTCAGATCATGAGCTTCTTGTTGCAAAAGTTAGGCTTAAATTGAAGAAAGTAGGGAAAAGCACTAGGCCACTAAGGTATGACCTAAATCACATCCCTGATGAATATACCGTAGAGGTGACAAATAGATTTAAGGAATCAGATCTGATAGACAGAGTGCCTGAAGAACTGTGGATGGAGGTTCACAACATTGTACAAGAGGTAGCAACTAAAACCATCCCAAAGAAAAAGAAATGCAAGTAAGCAAAATGGCTGTCTGAGGAAGCTTTGCAAATAGCTGAAGAAAGAAGGGAAGTGAAAGGCAAGGAAGAAAGATGCTCCCAATTGAATGCAGAATTCCAGAGAATAGCTGGAAGAGATAAGAATGCCTTCTCAAACGAACAGTGCAAAGAAATAGAAGAAAACAATAGAATAGGGAGGACCAGAGACCTCTTCAAGAAAATTGGAGATACGAAGGGAACGTTTCATGCAAAGATGGGTATGATAAAGGACCAAAATGGCAGGGACCTAACAGAGGCAGAAGAGATTAAGAAGAGGTGGCAAGATTACACAGAGGAACTATACAAGAAAGAGCATAAAGTCCCTGATAACCACGATGGGGTGGTCACTGACCTCAAGCCAGGCATCCTGGAATGTGAAGTCTAATGGGCCTTAGGAAGTCTGAGCAACAACAAAACTAGTGGCGGTGACAGTATTCCAGCTGAGCTATTCAAAATCTTAAAAGATGATGCAGTAAAAGTGCTACACTCAATATGCCAGCAAACTTAGAAAACTCAACAGGGGCCACAGGATTGGAAAAGGTCAGTTTACATTCCGATCCCAAAGAAGGGCAATGCCAAAGAATGTTCAAACGATCGCACCATTGCACTCATTTCACATGCTAGCAAAGTTATGCTCCAAATCCTACAAGCTAGGCTTCAGCACTATGTGGACCGAAAACTACCAGAAGTACAGGCAGGATTTCGAAGAGGGAGAGGAACTAGAGATCAAATTGCCAACACACGTTGGATCACGGAGAAAGCTAGCGAGTACCAGTAAAACATCTACTTCTGCTTCATTGTCTATGCTAAAGCTTTTGATTGTGTGAATCACAACAAATTGTGGTAAGTTCTTAAAGAGATGGCAGTACCAGACCATCTTATTTGTCTCTTGAGAAACCTATATGCAGGTCAAGAAGCCACAGTGAGAACTGAGCACGGAACCACTGCTTGGTTCAAAACTGAGAAAGGAGTTCGACAAGGCTGTATACTGTTGGCCTGCCTATTCAACTTATATACAGAGCACAGCATGCGAAAGGCTGGGCTAGATGAATCACCAGTTGGAATTAAGATTGCTGGGAGAAATATCAACAACCTCAGATATTTATTTTCCTGGGCTCTAAGATCACCGCAGACGGGGACTGCAGCGAAGAAATTAAAAGACGCTTGCTCCTGGAGAGGAAAGCTATGAGAAGTCTAGACAGCATAATAAAAAGCTGTCACCCTGCCAACAAAAGTGCGTATAGTCAAGGCTATGGTTTTCCCAGTTGCAACATATGGCTGTGAAAGCTGGACCATAAGGAAGGCTGAGCACCAAAGAACTGAGGCCTTTGAATTGTGGTGCTGGAGGAGACTCCTGCAAGTCCCTTGGACCGCAAGGTGATCAAACCGGTCAGTCCTAGAGGAGATCAACCCTGACTGCTCTTTAGAAGGCCAGATACTGAAGATGAAACTCAAATACTTTGGCCACCTAATGAGAAGGAAGGACTCACTGGAGAAGAGCCTAATGCTGGGAACAATAGATGGCAAAAGAAGAAGGGGACAGCAGAGGATGAGGTGGCTAGATGGAGTCATTGAAGCAGTTGGTGTGAGCTTAAGTGGACTCTGGGGGGTGGTGGAGGACAGGAAGACCTGGAGGAATGTTGTCCATGGGGTCGCGAAGGGTTGGACACAACTTCGCGACTAACAACAACAATTTTATAAACGTAAAGAAAACATTTATGAGATGCTTTTAGAAGTTCAGTTCCAGGCAGCTCACAAACCTGATCTGGCCAAATCAGAAAGCATATTCTGTATCCCTATGCAACAGACAACAAGTATCTTGCTGCATAAGAAATACCGTAACTGTGAACTTAAAGCTAACAGTCAGTTCTCCTAAGACATTTTCATAGTGGCGGCACTCATCAGCAACACATTTCAAGGAAAGGGGTAAGAATTTTTGCATTATGTCTGTAAGTGTCATTGCATGTATCTCCATTATTTTGTCCACTAGCCTACAAAAATATAATATTGCTGGTATCTACATAGACTTTTCTAGTTAAGTAGAAGTCTGTCCTTAACATTATGTCATAATTTACCTGCCATCAATTTTCCTCTCTTCTGATTTCAAAGATTTGGATATAAGAAAGTTGCAATACCTCATGATTCAAGTAGAAATCTTGACCCTGGAAACAAAATCCAAAATGGTCCTTAAAACCATTGTGGTCAAAGGTTCAAGCAGAATTTGCAAAAGGAAAGTGTCTGAAGATTTTCTAGTATTTATGAGAAAGCCTCAAAAAAGCCCTCAAAAAAGTTCTGTTATTTGGCTTGGAAAATTTTTCAACATGCTAACTAAATGAGTGTTGAAGTTCCACTCTGTGTATTAGCATGGTATGTTACAACACTGTTAGGTATTTGAAGTTATTCTGGGAAGAAAAAAAATCAAGATATCTGTAATGTTTCCTGGAAAAGTCACTTTAAACATTAAATGCCTGAAGGTGTCGTGAGGCCAGAGCACCCTTCTCAATTACTCACACAGGAACAGGCAGTAAAGGTTTAAAGCCTGTTATTCTAAAGAACTTAAAAGCTATGCAGCAATATATAATACAGGAGCTTGTAATGGCGATTCTAAGCAGTAGAGTTGTCCCCTCCTTTCTGACTTTTCTCAGATTTATGATGCACTCTTCACCCGTCGCAGACGCTCCTCCATTCGAGGGCTAGATAAACTCCTCTCTCTTCTCCTTTCAATTTCTCTTGACTCCAATTGTCCCAAGCAGTGTGCCCTCCTCCTATCTTGAGCACTCTCCAGAGTTTTCCCAGGCTGTTTATCTCTATCTCGTGCTGTCATCTCCATAGCAACGGGCCGGCTAACCAGTTGCCTAGCTCCGCTACCTATCAGTAGAAGGCTGTCTTCCCTTGGCCCTAGAAAAACTTCGTCAAAGTCAGAGGGCAGTGTGTGTGTGTGTGTGGGGGGGGCATTTGTGCAATGGGCACCAAGTAAAAGTCTTCTTGCTCTAAGGCCTGACTCTTGCTGGGAGCTTCTTACTCTCTCACACATGCCAACAACTCCTCTGAGTCATTAGGCACGACAGAAGGATATCTTAGGCCAAGTCCTGTGATGGGTCCAAATATATTGTGCGTTAAGGAAAATATATCTGGAGTATCTCTGCTTCTTATATTAAAACCAAAAGACAGAAGCTTCCTTGATAGATAAGAAAAATACACTTTCTAAAGCAGTGCAAGCAATTCCTACATTCACTTTCCTTTTCCAGAATTACCTTTTGAAAGAATTGCAGAGGTGAGGAAGGGAAAACTAAGGGTTTTTATATTTTTTCAGGACAAGACTGACGAGAAGTTAACACCATAGCAACATCACCTAGAAACTGCATCTGCTTTCCACATCAGAGTTCTGAGCAAAATTGAGCCTGGATCATCCTATCAAAAAACTTTTCTACCACTGAGTTTTCAAGAAAGCTTCCAAACCCCTTCAAGTATAGCACTGGATTATTCAAGTATAGTACAGAAAATGTAAGTTATCTAATCTTACAACTGAAAAGTGAAGTTGCTTACCTGGTAACCGACGTTCTTTGAGTGATCATCTGTGCATTCACAGCTCTCCACCTGCATGAGGCCTGTCGTCAGAGAGTGAGAGAGAGATTCCCTAGCTAGGCATTTTGGCAGGAGCCTGCACCCTTCCCCCACATGGTATATAAAGGTGGGGCTCCCACTATTTTCTCCAGTTTTGGTGAGATGGTTGCTTGGGCATTGGAACCAGAGAAAGGATGGCCATTTCCAGCCTTCTCACCAGCACAGCACAGATAGAAAAATAAGTGAAAGTAGTGCAAAAGCTGCCTTTGCTGATTATAATATGGTAATTGATACTGATGGGATGGTGGACAGGTTGTGTAAATGCATAGATGACCAGCCTTTCTTCTTTGTGATCTCTGTGCAGCATACATATGGTCGATTAACTAGCTTATTGAGGAATGGAAGTGGAATGGTGTCATCAGTGGAAGGCTGATAAGATCACCTGTCCAAAGGAGCAGACTTGTAGTGCTGAATGAATGTCAATGGACTGCACCATATTGTCACTCTACATAAGTCTTCTACTGATACACTGGCATGTAGTGCTGTGGAAGTTAACTTCTGCTCTGGTAGTGTGTACTTTTGGTTTTTCTGGAAGGTCCAGTCCAGCTAGTTGGTAGCCTATTTTGATAGTCTCTACAATCCAGTGAACTAGTCACTGTTGAGTTATGGAGTTCATTTTTTGATTTTGATTTTTCCACATATAAGACAAATAGTCTTTTAGATTGGCAGAATAGTTCTGTGTGGGACTGTGAAGAAGTAGAGGGGCTCACCCATCTTCCCTTGGTGTCCAGCAGAGAGAGGCCAACTGTGATGGTGCACAGCAAGGAATGTGCTTGGGCAGAACAAGGAACAAGGACTCTGATTGCCAGGATGAATGGGTGCGGGCACTGCTGCACTGGATTATTGGCTGGGGCAAGAACAGCTGAGCTGGGTGGAATGGCAGTTGAAACGGGGGAATAAAGGAGGAGGTCATACCAGAAATGTAGGGGTGGAAGAGGAAGAGAATGAGAGAGACACGAAGAAGAGGAAAGAAAGGAAAAAAGGTGGAAAAGGAGGCTTCAGATGAAGAAGCCTGAAACTGGCTGGCTTTGCCTGTTGGACAGTACCAAGGCACCAACAGGCCAACAAAAGCAGCGAGGGGAAAACCTGCACCCAGGATGCAGAGTTCGCTGCCATCCCAGTCGTGATGCCACTTACCCTAAATCCAGGAAGGAGGAAGGGTTCAGGCCAGGGCAGGGATTAGGCACTTCAGGAAGCGCAGCCATGATGGGAAACTGTGAGCTGCAATAAAGAAATCTGGTGAGCAAGCTAACTTAGGTTGTAAAGAGTGGTCTGGTGAGAAAACTGCCTTTTCTTTATAGAAGATCAGGAAGGCTGGGTCAATTTCGAGAGCACACAGCTCACAAGCCCATATGGCTGATGTGATAGCTACTAAAAACACCACATTCCAGGAGAGAAGGAAGAGGTTGATGGTAGCTAAGTTCAAATAGGGGCTTTGTGAGAGCTTTCAGAACCAGTGAAAGGCTCCATACCAGCAAATTTGATTGGATTGGAGGTACAAGGTTATGCAGTCCTTTAAGGAACCATCTGGCAAGAAGATGCAAGAAAAGGGATCATTCCATGAAAGGAGGATGTTGCTGCTAAGTATATCCTAATAGAGGATGGTTTCAAACCTTTGAGGTGAAGGTCAATCAGGGAGGTGAGAATTTGATGGATGGATGATGTGGTTGGTTCAAAACCTTGCCTTTTGGAGAAACGTTAGAATTACTTCCATTTTGTTTCATATGATTGTCTGGTGTTTGGTTTGAGTGAAGCACTGAGGATTAACTGTATCTCAGGTCGTAGGAGAACTCCCTTGTCTACTCAGTGATCCTCCACACTGTCAGACATTTGGTCTTAATGTATGAATGTAAGACTAGCCCTCCATCCTCAGATAAGATGTCTCATCTCATCAGGAATCATGTGAAGTTCTGATTGGACAGGAGAAGCATGTCTGCAAACCATGCCAACTGAGATCATCATGGGCTCACTATAATATAGCTGGTGTGGTCCCTTTGGATTTAGGTGATTAATTTTGTAATCAGCGGGAAAGGGGGAATAGATAAAAGTGAGTCCTGTTCCATTGTGTGAGGAATACATCACCCATTGACTCACTGCCAGCTTTGGCTCGAAAGTAAATTGTCTGCACACTGTATTCTTCAGTGTTACAAACAGGTCCACAGATGATATTTCCCAGCTTGTGAAAAGGTATTTTACAACTTCTGGATTTAACTCTAATTCATGAGTCATGCCCAGCCTTCTGCTCAAAGTGTTGGCCAGTTTTTTGTAAATTCCAGCCAGGTGGACTGCCACAATCATTGTATTCCATTCCAGGCACCAGTCCCGTATTTATAGTGTAAGTTGGATCAGTGATATGGAGTGAGTACCGCCTTGTTTGTTTAGATAATACACTACTGTAACATTATCCGACATTCTTTTAATGCACCTGTTCTTGAGTAGCTGTTTGGAGGACAGAAGCACTTTTTGCACTGCAAGGAGCTTCAAGAAATTGACAGGCTTGCTGCATTCTTGATTGTTCCATAATCCATGTGTTTCTTTGCAGGTGCATTGTGCTCCCCATCCCCAAGGGGAAGTGTCCATTGTTACAGCCAAGTCTGATTTCTTGGGGGTAAAGGCAATTCCATTGGAAAGGATAGTTCACCAAGTGAGTGCACAGTCCACCAAGTGAGATTGCACTGTACTGTGTGTAGGAAAGCCAAGCGTTTCCGTTTGGAGTCTCTGTTTGGTTGGTAGGCTCAAAGAAACCATAGCTGGAGCAGTCTCAATTGCAAGCAAGCATATTGTATGACAGAAACTGTAGCTGCCATTAGTCCCAAGTGTTGCTGTATTTGGTGCACTGTAGATCTGGCTTCCATTTGGAGGTGTAAAACCAATCCAGATAAGAGTGGATGCTTTGTCTAGGGGCAGGTATGCCCTGGCATCCACTGAATCCAGTCTGGCACTGATATGGAGGATAGACTGGGAGGGAGAAGCTATAGATTTTTCATCATTAATGCAAAGTCCTAGTTTCTGTAGAAGACAACAGGTAGTGTGGACTGAGGCCATCAAGTCCATCTTAGACAAGGTGGTTAGAAGCTAGTCATTTAAGTATCGTATATCCTTTGAACCTGACAGTGCACAAAGACTACTGCCATGTATTTTGTGATTACTCGTGGGGCTATGGCATGACCAAACAGGAGTACACAGAATTAATAACTTTCAGTGCCAATATGAAACCATAGGAAATGTCAGTAATCCGGGTGGATAGAAACTTAAAAGTATGCTGTATTTATTTATTTGGAATTTTTGTATGCTGTCCTATTAGCATAAGCCTCGGGACAGCTTCCAACATCATAAACAAACAGTTATTCAGACAAGAACATATAAAATCTGGATTCATCCTGGCTAAAAGATTTTAAAACCAATAAATAATATTAATAATTATTAAAATATTGTTTAAATAAAAAGGTCTTGGACATTAAGTATATCAATTAAGTATATCCATTAAGTGTATCAAGATGAACCAGTGTACTTGCCAACACAGGTAGTATAGAATCCCCTTTCGTGATCAGATAGCGAGATGGATCGAATTGCTCCCTTTGATCAGTGTTGCTACCTCCTTTTATTAGGTGGCTGATGGAGAGGTACTGCATATAATCCTGAGTGATGGAAGGGATGCAAATTCTATGCAGTACCTGAATTTAGTGATGAAGAGTACCTATCTGTTCAATGTTATGTCTTCCCATTGGGGAATAAAGTTCTCACGTAAACCAGACGTCCTTTTGCAGGAGTGGTAGGATGGCATGAGTGAGACCATGTGGAAGCATTTGGGTTTGATAAAGCAGTTGACGCCCGAGGCCCAGGACAGGGCAAAGGCTGCCATCTTTCTTTGGGACTGTGAAATAGACGGAATAAAAATCAGAAGGATCACAGAAAGAGACCCATTCAATGATTCCTTTCTGGAACAGAGAGGATATCTCATTGAGGAGGGATTCTGAAGGGGCAGTTGCTTTTATGGTGCCAAGGGGAGGGAGTGTAGTAAACTCAATTCTGTATCCTTGGAGGGCAATGGAGAACACCCATTTGTCTCAGATAATCTCAGCCCAAGCATCAAAAAATGGTTTAAGTCTATGGTAGAATGTCAGATGAGAGGAGTCAACAGGTTTGGAGGGGTGATGGGAACCCTGACATGGACGAGCCATGGGATCAGGGCAACTGGTCTGAGAAGTAGGTTGGTGCCTGGGACCTAGTCTGAAATTGAGGCACTAAACAGTGCCACTAATGAGGGGCATGCAACCTGGAAGGTGGGGTCTGAGTCTCATCCTGCAAGAGGTATTCCTGGCTTTTTCGACAGAGTCCATTCTGTCATCTGTACCTTCAATGAGGTGGCCATCAAGGGGCATATCCTCAATTCTGGCTTTTGCCTCCATAGATAAGCCTGAGGAATGGAGCCAGGTGAAGCAATGGAGGCCTATGACGTCTGCCATGTTTCTGGCACCACATTTGACTTGATGTGTTGCAGTGTGAATCTCCTGCTGGGCCAGGTGAGTAGCCTCAGTAGTTATTTTATTAGCCAGGTTTTGTGTCTCTTCAGGGAGAGATGAACAAAGTGATGACATCCACTCCCATAACATGAGTTGGTATCAGGCCATGGTGGCCTGGTAGTTGGCCAACTTGGTGGAAAGTGCAGTAGATGAACAGAAGTAGCGCCACGTGGCACTGGGATGCTTGCCTTCTCTATCAGATGGGGTGGAATATTCTCCATGGGATGGTCGTTGACAGGACTCCACAATTTGGATGGAGATAATAGAATCTGGATGTGGATGCTGGAAAAGGTATTCAGCGTCTCTTTCCCATATCCTATATTCTCAAGTCTGTGAGGTGGTGGACCTACAGACATGGAAGACTTCCACTCTTGGTGGATGGCATCAAGTAAGGTCAGTAAGTGGGGTATAATGACCCTGTCCTGTTGTCGCTGTATAGATTGCCTCAAAGACAGGATCTTGCACTGGGCTTGGGCCTTGCTGAGGTCTGAGTCCCAAATTGTGCATGAGAACCTGATTAGAAAATTATCCTAGGTCTGCAGAGCTGTGTGGAGGGTTAAATGGCTGTTCAGTCAACCCAGATGGGTGATCAAGAGGATTGGGCAGGAAAGGAAGGATCAGAAGTTTATGACTCAGAACTGGAGGGTCACATATGTATGATCACGCAACTTAGCTTTTGGTAGTCTGGAATGAAAGGTCAGGGAATATTGAGCTGTCATATGTCTTGGCTCCCATGATAGGCCAGGTAGTGGCTTGGGAGCCAAGGTGGAGAAATTGCCAGATCTAGTCAGGCTCCAACAGGGCCTGTCAACTGATATCCAGCATTCTTTATGGAAATCGGCCAGTGAGTGCCGCAGTCTCTTTCAGCAAGCAGGGAATGGGACCTGTAGCAACACTGATCTGGTTCAGAAGGTTGGTGTATACTCTGGACAGGTGAAGTGATTTCAGATCTCACCTTCGACGCTTAGACCAATTAGAACAGAGAAGGAGAGAAAGAAGTTTGTCCAACCCCCGTGGAGAGGGACGTATGAGATTGAGGTCCCCGTGACAAATCTCAGAAAGGTCAGAAAGGAGGGGGCAACTGTGTTGCTTAGAGCTCTCTGCGGTAGCTCCTACACTATGTCGTAAACATAAATCTTGTAGTCGTTCGGAATAAAGGTCTTTAGTTTTTATCGCCTGCGTCTGTGTGAGTAATTGGGGACTTGAGTTACGACCTCACGACACAAATGCAAGGATCTTCCACTGTATGCTTTATAAGAAAAAGAGTCTTTTAGTAAGCCATCCTTAGACTGAATGCCTCAAGAGCTTAAAGGTTTGATGTGCTAGTAAAATGGCAGAAGTAATGCCAACATTCTGCAAGAGATTCAACAAAGAGCAGGAGTAATGCTTTAGAAGCCATCAGTCCCTTCACTAACTTAGAGCCAGCCATCTCTCTTTTATTAGGGTTACACCCTATAAAATTCTTAAGCTGTGAACAATACAAAGAAAAAAGAAATCAAAATACAGTATTAACATCTTTAAAATCAAATTTTACAATAAAGAATGGCTCATCAGTCAGGGAAGGCATGTTTAAAGAAAAATGTATTTAGCAGATGGAAAAAACTAGACAAGATTGTGCCTTTGAGGAGAAGGTCTCTCCCCACTCCCCCTTCTCTCTCCACAAACTTAGAAGAGACCTTGGAAGCCAGTCCCTGTATTACAGCTCAAAAGTTTACATACCAGCATAAATCAAATAACATTCCCAATGAGATATGAGAGAAGCACCTGCACATGTGCAGAGTTAAATTCAATTTCCCCTCCTTTCAGAAAGATTCTGGCTTCACTTTCAGGATGGCTCCTGCTGCTAGAGGGCAGGAACATCAGACACTTCTTAACTGGGACATTCACCCCACCTGTTGTCTCCTGACAGGGTCACAGCACCCCTGTACCAAAGTCTCCCCAACCCCCCCAGTTCTATCCATCCATCCATCCATCCATCTATGCTGCCCCATGACTAAAAGTCTCTGGATGGCTTACAAAGAACACAAAACCAAAAAACAAAGAAACCATAACAGCAACACACAACACACTGCATCTAATAAATAATGATAAAAACAAGGATAAAACCAATTAATTGTTAAAATGCCGGGAAAATAAAAAGGTCTTCGCCTGACACCAAAAATAATAGACTGTGCCAGGCAAACCTCCCTGGAGAGCATATTCCACAGTCAAGGTGCCACCGCTGAAAAGGCCCTTCTCCGAGTAGCTAACCTCCTGGTTTCCTTCAAAGAGGGTTCCCGGAGAAGGACCTCTGCCTCTGATCTCAAGGGGTGGGCCGGCATATAGGGAAGAAGGCTCTCCTTGAGGTATCCTAAGGCAGGCATTTTAAAATGTCTGCCTTCTTTTCCAAAGCATGCTCTGAGTATCTTGACCAGATAACCTTGAAGCTGCCAACTGCCAACCACCTCTACCCCTCAGCCTTCTCCTCAGAATTGGACAAATCTACCTGAGACAACCAAGTTCCAAGAGGTGGACCCTCCATCTACATAGGGTACTTGAACTCCTTGCCACTGATAGCCAAGGAGTTCTGAAAAGAGGGAATCAATGCACTAAATTCTCTACTCCCAGCAGACCAGCAGAATTGTCTCATCTGATGACCTCAGTGATTGGACAGGTTGGTAAGGGAGATGTTCTTTCAAATATCTGTAAGTAAGACACTTACACTTACAAAGGCTCAGAATCCCAGGGAGCCTTACAGGCATTTAGTCCAAGCTCCTGCTCAATGCAAGAAATCAAAAAATAAATTGCCATCCAACCTCTGCCTGAAAGCCTCCAGGCAAGGAAAAGCGCCCACCTGCCTCAGAAATTCATTTCACTGTCAAACTGCTGCAGCCTTCAAGATATTCTCCTAGTATTCAGCTGAAATCTTCCCTCCTCTAACAGACAATCATTGCACAGTATCTAACAGTGCAAGTCTGCTAGTGTAAATGATGCTGGGCTAGCAGAAGCTAGGTCTAGAACTATGTACCAAAGAGACATCCATCATACATTAACTCTTCCCACTGCCCAGAAGAAGCAAGGAACATGTGACCAGGCTTCTTGCCTTGATTCCACCCTCTGTGGCTCCTCCCAGTCTATTCTTCTAAACAGATAGCAATAGAAGCACCAGAAACAAAGGATAACTGTAGTGAAGATACAGAACAAGCCATTTATTATCTATTGACATTCCCTCTTTGGAAACATAATGAGACTGCCTAGCTGTCACAGGATACAGTTCATTCCTCTCCATGTACCATATCAGAATGGAACTTCACAGTAAGTACTCAACTTTCCCTTCCTATTCAGTCCAAATAGACATCCATACAAAAGGTACTATTTCCATGCCCACCATGAGTGGGAGGGGCTCCCACCAAGACCTCAATCCTGAACAATAAGACTGCCACCAAGTAAGTTTGATGGTAAGTAAGGCCCTGACAAGACCTTGACAACATCTCTTAATGAAATGCACATCTGAAATGCACCAGATCCTGTCAGAGGAATGAGAAAGCTTAGAACAAAAGAGAAGGAACACTATCTTTTCTACTCTGTGTAAAAACTGTTACATTGCAGAACAAAGAAGACTCTGACCAAAGAGTGACAGAGTCTTTATTGAACAAACAGAAATGATCTGTTATGGAGGGTGCAGTTATTTCCGAGACTCTTTTGCCCAATGTTATACCTAGAAGGAATAGCATTTGGGGAGGTGGGGGAGAGCATGCAGAAGAGCATGAATGTGAGACAGTGCTCAGCTGCTCAACAGAAGAATAAGAGCTGATAATATCACATGCTGATTCTAAATTCAGAAGCAAAGTTTAATTGGAGGACACTGCAGTGTTGCCCCTGTAATTAAGTAGCGGATCCTGCCAATTCCACTGGGCAAGCAGGACACGTCGCACAACAGTGATTTACCACTTCTCAAATGAATCACTGAAATGACAGAAAATGCTTGTTTCATAATAGAGACAGGTTGGCAGAACTCCCTTATCTGAGCTCTGCCAACCTGTCTGTTCCAGAAACAAGCATTTCCATGTACAGTGGTACCTCAGCTCACAAATGCCTTGGTTCATGACCAAATCAAGTTAAAAACAAAAATTTCATGAAAATTTTGACTTGGGCCGTGAACTCCGCATTGGGTGGCGACCAAGATCGCAGCCGTCTCCCTCCCGCCCCCCAAGTGGGGAAATGGCCATGATCGCAGTTGCGTTCATGCAGGGAAGACGTGCATGATCACAGGTGCGCTCCTGTTGGAAAGATGGGTGCCATCTCAGCCATCTCCCCCCCCCACCCCAACCAGCACGATCACGGTCATCTCCCCACCCCCGAGTTGGGAGAAGGCCACGATCACAGTTGCATTCATGCACAGAAGACATGTGTGATTGCGGCTGTGCTGTGTTGCACCCGTCTTTCCTGCAGGAGCGCGCCTGTGATCAGCCCGACTTTCCTGCACGAGCACAACTGGGATCGCGGTCATCTCCCCAACCCCACCCTGAGCACATGTGGCCATCATCCCTGCACAATTGTGATAGCGGCCATCTCCCCCCCTCATAAAATATTTTAATGAAATTTTTGTTCGCAACCTGATTTGGTTGTGAACTGAGAGGTTTGTGAACCAAGGTACCACTGTATTTTATGAACAGACGCTTGGTTTTCCTAAGGGTCTCCGTACGGGATCGGTAGAAGCCCAGACAGCGTCTCTCATCAAGCAAATATAAAGATCACTCTATCGGTGTTGAGGGCGCAGAAAAGAAGGCTGGTAGAACAATGTCCTGATTGATGTGAAAAGGTGTAGCGACATTAGGAAGGAAAGCAGGGTCAGTCCAAAGAACAACCTTCTTTTTGTGGAAATTAAGATAAGGAGGGTCAACACGAAGAGCACAGAGTTCACTAGCCCTCCTGGCCGAAGTGATGACGACAAGAAAGGCTGTCTTCCAAGATAAAAGGCGCAAATCAGTGGTAGCTAATGGTTCAAAGGGGACTTTAGTAAGCGCCTGTAAAACTACAGAGAGACTCCATGTCAGTACCACTGAATGGACTGGAGGCTGGAGATTCTGCAGTCCTTTCAGAAAATGATGGATGAGAATGTGTGAAAATACGGAGGATCCAGAGATGAGTCCATGATAGTGAGAAATGGCAGCAATGTAGACTTTAAAAGAGGTAGGTTTAAGTCCATGTTGATGCAAGGATAGTAAAAAGAGCAAGATATTGTCAATTGAGGCTGAGTGTGGTAGAAATTGGTTGGTTGCCACAAAAGAGGCAAATTGTTTCCATTTAGCCTTATAGGAATGTCGAGTCGCTGGTCTTACAGCAGACTGAAGAATAAATTAGATGTTGGGATGGAGAATGCTCAGATTCGAAGCAGGATCTGAGGTCTGTGTTGGTACCAAAGATTCCCTTGGGACAGAAGGCTGTGTAGGCAGCATCAGGTTTGATGAAGGGGTCGGTACCAAAGACAAAGCGGTAGTCACTGAATGAGCCATGACGTGAGATTCAGGGAGTTGAGGTCTGGATGTTGAATCACACCGTTCTCCTGAGTAATAAGGTGAGGGATCCGAGGAAGATGAAAGAAGGTCCTCCTGGAGAGACAAAGAATGGTGGGAAACCACGGCTGACGGGGTCACCAAGGTGTTATAAGAATTCCTTGGACTTGAGCAATTTTGGCCAAGTTTTTTGTGATGAGAGGTATCAGAGGGAATGCGTAAAAGAATGAGTTCGCCCAGGTCACCATCAGTGTGTCTCCCAGTGAGTTCGGGCCAATGCCCGCTCAAGAGCAGTAGTTCGCGCATATTGCATTGTCAAATGTGGTGAATAGATCTATGTCTGGAGTGGCCCATCCTTGAAAGAGGTGGTGGCAAACCTGCCGATCCAACTCCCACTTGTGAATTGTCGACATTATGTCTGCTGAGGGCATCCGCTTCTTCATTGTCGACCCTGGCAAGATGGACCGCCAGAGGAGTAATCCCCTGGGGATACACCAGTCCCAAAGATGGAGAGCAAGATGCACTAACGGTACTGATTTCGTGCCACCCTGTTTGTTGACGTAGATGACAGTCACAACATTGTCCGAGGCTATCTGAACTACTCTGTCCCGAAGAGTAGACTCAAAAGATCTGAGGGCTTTGAAAACCGCTAGAAGTTCTAGATAATTGATGTGCCTGGATGTCTCGTGACCTTGCCAGGTGCCTTGAGTGCAAAGATTGGCACAATGTGCTCCCCATCCTGTAAGGGAGGCATTGGTGTAGAGGGTCACCTTTGGTTGTGGCTGGCAAAAAGGGACCCCTGTGGAAAGGTTGTCGCTGATCATCCACCGAGTCAAAGTCCAAAGGATGAAAGTGGGCGGTATCATGAGGCAATGTGGAGGGTTGTGTTGAGGATGGAAGAAGTGGTTGAACCAAAGTTGCAGGGGTCACATTTGAAGCCTGACATTGGGTACTACAGAGACTGTGGAGGCCGTATGACTGAGCAGTTTCTGGATGGAGAGTGTGGGAACAGGCCGGTCGTTGGAAATGCGATGAATGGAAGACCGAAGCTTTGTCCTTTTGAGCTTGTGGTAGAAACGTTCTGGCTTGGATTGACTTCAATGAAGTCGATGACCTGTGAAGGAACGAAACAGGATTTTTTGGCATTAATACAAAGTCCGAGTCTATCCAAGAGATTGCAAGTAATATCAATGGCTGAAAGCAGACTCTCTCTAGAGGAGGAGACAATCAGCCAGTCATCCAAATAGGGGTAGATATGGACACCCTGTAGCCTGGTCACAAACAGGGACCGTGCACTTTGTGAAGACTCGTGGAGTGGTAGCAAGTCCAAAGGAAGGACATTATACTTGAAGAGGTCGGAACTGACAGCAAACCGGAGCAATTGCCTATGTAACGGACAGATGCTGATATGGAAGTATACATCCTTCAACTCCAGAGATGTAAACCAATCTTCTCTCCTGAGCAATGGAAGAATGTTTTGAAGGGTGTTCATCCAGAATTTTTTGGTCTTAATAAATT